CAAAAATGTTTTACTGACTCAAAAAGTGGGTTGTAAATCAAGATTAGCCTCTAATCTACACAAAAAAAAAAAAAAAAAAAAAAGAAAAAAAAAGACTATACATGCATGTTACATACATTCTGTGAAATCTATCCTCCTTCCTTTCTTTTCCATATCCCATGTGTAGTTCTGTAATCTTTCCCTCTACTGCATTACAAAAGAGCAGTCCAATAAATTCTTTAATTCTCTAACTATACCAGTATCATAAACATCAAATTTAGGCAGCTTATACCAAATTGACAAAGCACACACCACCTGAAAGCAGTCAGAGCCTCTGTACCATCTTGAGCTTCTCCACACTATTTAGAACACTGAATACTGATGGTGCTTCTTTTCTTCTGTATTACTTTACCGTTATCTATACATCAAGTATGCAGGATGTGCTGTATAACCAGGCTAACATACCCTGGCAAGCCCTCATTTTACAAAATTTGTCTTTCAAATGCTATACTTTCTATAGTATTAAATTGAATATTGAAGTACCACAGAAAGCTAAATCCTCAGCGAAACAGGGCAGCTATGAATCAGCATAAAATGTCAACATTTCAGGAGAGGGGCTAACAAAGAGCATAACATCTAGTGGAAACTACAGGTGAAATATAAATAGACAACATCATCCCAACTGAAGTTCAACCAGGGCAGATGAATTAACAACCCTGCTTTCCAGAAAGCATCTCAGACCTGTAATGACAGGAGCAATCATTATCTTAGCTTTTTGGTGTCTTCTGAAAGGTACAATATTCCTGTGACCAGTGCCATAAAATGGTTGGAAGTCTGAGGTACAGTGGACAATAAAGACACTGTGCATTCAGCACTGTACAGAAAACACACAATATCTCCCAGAACTCACCAGTGCTACCAGTTTCAATCAAAGGCTATCACATTCCTTTCAGTATTGATAACTTCCTGGCTGCTCAGTTTTTAAACCAGTTCTGTTCATAGCTGAATGATACACAATGAAGAGTCAAAGGTGACTTTAACAGGGACTTGCACTTTGTGACATATTTCCAAAAGGATTGCAGGTCTGTTCACATGATATAATAGTCTACATCTGTCAGCTCAAATAACAGCATTAATCACCTCATTATTCGTCTTACTGAAATATTACAACAACGGCTAGAATTACACAGAAATCATGAAATAGCTAAAAAAGAGGCAATGAAAGTATCTCTGTGTTACTGGAAAAAATTAGGAGAACTAAGAAAAACAGAAGGTGAAGTTTATAATTAGTCATGCGCCAAAACCAGAAAAAGCCAGCAGAAACGATATGTGTGTCACTTGATAGACTTTCACCCTAATTTAAAGTCATCCCCCTTTCCAGCTATAGTTTACATACTCATTTCCCTAAATTTTTAGTTCAGTTGTACAGAGACAGATAAAGCAGCAAGCAGCCAGCAACAGCTGATTTACAGGAGTGCAGCACGTGTTGTGTGAATTACAGCTGTCTGTAATTAAACAGTGACCGAAGTCGAGGCACACAGGTGGATGGCAGCACATTGGCTCCTGATGGACAAGAGAGGCCCATCACAGACTAAAGTCTGCAGCACTTGATTGCTCTATTGGAACCAGGAGAACAGAATGGGTTTTAGCACAGACTAAAGCACCTCACTGCTGTCTCAGATGATCCTGATACTGAGGGTTGAAGCACGCTGCCAAGAGCAGCATGGAGAACATGACAGCACTGGTTTTGTCCCCAGATTGGGCCTGTTTACAGATACAGGACTTTAATCTGCAAGATCTTCTAAAACAATACACTTAAGATTTTATTTCCAGCCTTTTCTGAGTCTTTTTTGTGAAGGTTTGATACACTTAAGACTGTATTTCCGAGCTGATGGTAGTATGAACTAAAAGCAGTTTGCATCTCTCAGTATCAGCCCAGCACACTCCAGTTTTGAAAAGATTAAATAACTACACTAGCATCAGAAATAGGCTCTTGAAAAAAATACGAGTGTTAACTATGGAAAGAATCTAGTGAACGCAACGAGGCAATATTAACAAGGGAAAAAGGAATCAAAAGGTGCATGTGCTCCATACCAGAATCCCTACTCATAGAAATAATGAATTATGTCTATAACATCTACAATGATTAGTGTTTGCATAACATCTAAAAAAAGTTTACTACAATCTCAAGTGAAAAATAAACATTTATTTTAGATGTTGGTTCCAACTCAGACTACATTGTTTCCAGTTCTAACAAACTGCTCATAAAGAACAGCAAAAAGCACCTGCTTCTTAAAAAGAAAAGGAAAGAAAAGAGAGGAGGGAAGGGACAGAAGAAAAAAAATCCAAGCTCTGTGTTGGACATACCTACGAGTATCTGTGAAACTCAAGTACCGATGGAAAAGGCAGCGACCCCGCCTCTGCCTTCCTGTTACAAGCCCTTCTATTGTCAAGTTTTAGTTCTCAGTAGTGACATCTTTCAACTTTCCTCTACTACCAGATCCCTCCTCAGCTGCCTTTCCAATCACTCCACACATTCTCTTAAGGCCTGCTGCCTTTCCCCTAGATCTCTGAATTTATGCTTCTCTTCTCATCCTCTCTTTCAAGCTGCTTTACAGGGACAGAGAAACATGGAATATAGAAGAAGGGACAGAGAACTAGGAGAGCAGACGTTTATTTGCTATACATGACTGCATCTTCTTCTCTCAACCCCTACTCTGCCATCTCCAACCACATCTCTTGAACAGACCACATTGATTTGTCTCTTAAGGCTTTCCCCGAGGTCCTCTGTCTCCTTTGACACTTTTCAAGCTCAGATGACACTGTGCTGACAAAGGCCTTTCTCCTATGCAGCACCCAAAAACTGGCAGTATGTGTCCTTTCACCCCGAGGGCCAGAGAAGTCTGTCAATTTCAGCCCCTTCCAGGCAAACTTAGTCATAATTTCTCCCTCTGGGAGAATGTGAGAGAAGGGCCGCAGCAGGCAACAATCAACTGAAACAGATACGTAACAAGCGTGGCAGTAAGATTTATTTTACCTCGCTCATCACCGGAGATTGTGAACTTGTGTGGACTTTGTCCAGTCCATAAGCCTACGTAACCGAAAAACGTGGTGCCTTGATATGCTACCTGCAACCAGGAAACATGCAGCATTTTAGCATTCCAGAACAGAACACTACTTACGTTACAGGCAGCATTCTGAAGCGGCATCCTGTACTTTCTCCTGTGAGTTCCACAAATAAGTTGTTATAAAACACTTTGCACCTTAAATTACAGTAAAACTTGCAAAATAAATTTTGAAAAGACTCTGAGGACCAAAATCTACTACATTTAGTTTATTAATGATCAATGACTGCTAAAAAAGCTTTGCTCAAGTTAGTGAGTAGCCAAGAAAGAAACCAAGAAAGAATTCTCCATTTCTGAATTGGACAAATGGATTTTAAGAAAAACATGCTAATGAGGACTGCACTAATTCACTTTTGGAAATTTTGATCTAAAACACAAATATTGGTCACAAAAATTAACAAGGCCTTAGGAAAAAGCCTTAGAATCAGCCCCTGCCAAAACTGATCTCTTTTCTATGTTCTCTAGTATTTCCTTTTCTTTTTTAGTATCTCAGATTTCCTTCTTCAACATCTCCTGCCAAATAATGATCTTGAGACACTAGGTTATGCTGTTCTATTCATTCCAGTTTATCACCACAAACCAGTCTCCAGAAAGCAAAGAAAAGCAGCATTCATCCCACATTCCTGGAGTGAGTGATTGTGTTGCTCTAATAATCCAGTAACCTTGGGACGGGATCCACATTCCTACAGTAAATCCCACTACCCCTACACAGCTGTATGATTGCATCCCATTCCTTCAGGGAACACCACCCAGCCATGGCAACCACAGATCATACCTGTCCACTTCTTAGAAACTGCACATCAATTGTAATCTTGCTTAATATATCAACAAAATCATAATCCAGGTTCCGACCATGGTAAATGTTTCCTTTGTCATCCTGAGCGACGATACTAGTACAGAACCTTCAAAAACAAACAGTAGAAAGAATCATTTAAGAAAAAGCTACGACAAGACTCTCAATATTATAGTTGAACTAGTTCAACATTTTAGGAGGAGTAACTGAGTTTATCTTCTGCAAAGTATGTTACTAATGCAAGCACACAAATAAGAGTTTGCATTGTATCATTAACACTTATCCTTCCCAAGCTGAGGGAATAGTCTCATCCTAGGCTTTTTGAGAAAATTTCTTATAGGTTTTATTTTCAAATTGGGAAAACAAAAAGGCCGGGGAGAATGGTTTGACTGAAGCTCTGCCTAACTACACAACAGTACAATATCCTATATGACTTATGCACCATATCCATATGGGAAAGTCCTTTCCCCCAGAGTCTAACATACAAATCTGTACAATACTTATCAGGTGCACCTGACTCTGAAAGTCAAAGCCACACTACCGTCCACATCAGGACAGATATTACAGACCAAGCTGGAAGCAGCACTTCCACTTGGGAAAAAAATTGCATTATTTCATTTAGTTTCTAAATTAAGATGACAAACTGACATCTAAAAAAGTCCACAAAGTATCTGCCTGAAACTTTCTAGATTTCATTTTGACAATTATAAATTATTTCATTTCAATTTGGAGCCTGCTTATATTTTTAATCACAACTAGATAAAAAGTTCAAGCAAAATCCTTTCAAACTGAAAATATCAGTTGTTGTTAAAGTGTCATCCATTTCAGTAATAGTCTAACCTCTTCTTTTGAACAGGAAGTGTGCTGAAATTCCTTTTTTAATAAGTTTCAGTTTTGTCGAAACAGACTTTTTTAGGAAGTATATTGCATTAGCAGGGAATTTTTTCTCTGGGGTTATAAATTTGTCATTCCAGTGATGCATAGCACTCTCTTTCAAAACTATAAAGGCAAAAAAATTTGCAGACAAGTAGTTTGTCTGATGAATGTTTTTTCTTTAGTACCATTAGAGCTGAGAAACTTAAAATTTCATGGGCCTTACCACAGCTAAGAATAGTAAGTATCCTCTGTGAAATACTAAGAAAGCTAGCATTTGATTGACTGTCTTAAATGATACTAATCCTTATTTGAAAAACGACCATTTTAACCGAATACCACATTATAAGAAAAATAGTAATCAACATGCATACAAGTGGCTGTATGCACCTGGTTTTTATTAAAATCAATTCAGAGAAATATTTTTAGGATCCTCACAGTTAACACCAAGTATTTATTATTCTCCTGCACGTGCCTCTAGGGCAAAAAAAGACAATGAAACTGAGTGGTTTTTTCCACTGAGGGTTTGTTTGCTGTCATAAAGATACTACATCCATTTTCCATTGTGCAAATCAAAAAAGTACAGTATACAGTCATTGTGAAGGTTCATCCAGAAAATGGTTCCAAAGCAACTTTACCTCAGATAAATGATTAAAATAATTACATTGCACCTAATTCTTCTAGTTTCCTTTTTGGTGAAATGTGACAATTTAAATGACAAAGAGTACATTACATGATCTTCAAAGATAAATGAAGCCAAATACTTTGAACGGATGGCTCTTGCTTATTAGCAAATATTATTTGTATGCTTTTATAGAGATATACATACACACACAAAAACATTACAGCTACACATTAAACTATGCTAAAAATATTGCTCTGTGTTTCTCTTTCAATTCAGGATACAAACTGCCTAATGAGAAGAAAACCTTCCAGCTGGAGCTGTGAAACGCTATCAGAGAAGGAACAGCACGAATCACCTGCCACACATCACCTGCCTTTTTGTGTGCTCTCCCACACTGAACTAAAATGCATCTCTACATCGATTTCCACCAGACTCTGTAAGTACCAGGCACTTACGCAGTAGACTCATAGGCGAAGTTAAGCAGGACTCCGTCTCCAAGACTTATTCCCAGGGCTTTGCACAGTCCCACAATTTCCCCCGCGAAGGGTTGTGGCATAAAGAGCTCCAGTTCTGCTGCTATGGGCTGAATAACTTCATGGGCCCATTTGGGTACTCTTTCACTGCAAAATACACACACAGCATTAGCTGAGAAAGAGACAAAAAGGTTTGCAACTTACGCCCAGCAGCAAGATGTTTGAGGAGTCTGCTGCTTCTCCCATCAGCTTGTCCCAGGTGATGCCAGCCACCCATCATCGAGAGCAGCCTTTTCCATGCTGTATCAGACATCCCTGCATCCCATCCCTCACCAAATCCCATCAGCTTCTGCACATCCCCAAAGCAGCCTGCGCAACCCCACCAGAACATTCAGCACAGGCTTCCTGCTCATGAGATGAATTTATTCCTACCAGGGATCTCCCCAGGCTGTCCTCTGACAGGTTCCTGAGTTTATGCACAATCCTAGAACGGTTAGAATTGGAAGGGACCTTAAAGATCATTGAGTTCAACTCCCCTGCCATGGGCAGGGACACCTCCCACCAGAGCAGGTTGCTCAAAGCCCCATCCAGCCTGGCCTTGAACACCTCCAGGGATGGGGCAGCCACAGCTTCCCTGGGCAACCTGTGCCAGTGTCTCACCACCCTCATAGTAAAGACTTTCTTCTTAATTATCTAATCTAAATCTCCCCTCTTTCCGTTTAAAACCCTGAAATTTTGAGTTCAGAGAGGTTCAGCCGTGCAGCATCCCTTCACCCCGTTCCCTCGGTCGGCTCTGGCCGGGGGGGGACCAGGGCCCCGCAGCGGGGACCGCAGCCGCCCCTCCCGCCGCCCCACCGGGGAGAAGGGCCGCCTGCCGGCCGTGGGCCGCTCCCTCCACCCCACCCGCGGCCATTTCACACACCCCCTTCCCCCGGGGAGGTCCCACCGCCGCCGCCCCGCACTCACTCGATGACCCGTGCGACGGCGGCCCGCAGGAAGGCGGGATCGAAGTGCCGCAGCACCGGCAGCCACCTCTCCTCGGCGGGGCTGTCCAGGCTCACGTTACACAACAGCGGGGCCGCCGCCGCGGGAGGAGACGGGGCCGCCGCCGCTACCGCCCCGCACAGCAGCGCCAGCAACCCCCACAGCCGGGACCCCCGCCCCATGGCGCTGGACGCGGCCGCCGGCGGGCAGCCCGGCAACCAGCCCTTCCCCGCCGGCCAGGGGCGGCCCAAGGGGAAGGGCCGGGATATGGCGGCCGCCCAGGGCGCTGCGGGCAGAGACCGCCCTCCTCAGGCACCAGCCCCGCGGGGACGAACGGCCGTTCTCCGCCCTGTCCCCGGGAAGGGCTTCGCCCCGGAGGCGGTTCGGCCGCCCCACTCCCTCGGTGACAGCCGCTATCGCCTCAGTAAGGACTAGTGGTAGGAAACGATGAACAGACCACAACCAACCACAACCAATAAAACCACAACCAACCAACAAACAGTATAACCTAGCAGTTAACATTTGCCATTAGCTTAGAATAATTTCATTTTTGAAAGTAGGGGAGAGGAGACAGCATAGCTCGCAGCTTCACAGCTCACTACCCTCCACTGCGAGGCTGTGAACAAGGGGGGAGAAAGGAAGAGAGGAGACAGGAGAGAAAGCACTAGTCCTAAACTCAAAAATGACAAAAAAAATAATTGCTTTTCCCTTTCAGCCACAGAAGTCATTAGTTTTTGGACAGAGGCACATAAAGGGGAAAAAAAAGGGAGTCAGGGAAAGGGGGTTTTATGTAAGTGCATATTGTACATTTCCCCTTCCTGTGGTCATTCAGCCCCAGCTCCACACTCCCTCCCTATACCCCTACAGCTCCTCTGCATCCCCTTGCCTCTCCAGCTCCCAGCTGCACATCCTCCACCTGGTCAGCTCATTGCTATCATTCCCTGCAATCCCTGCCTTTCCCTCAGCAGGAGCAGTGAACTAGAATGTAACATGCAAAGTTGTAGAACGTTTCTACTTTGTTCTTCTCTTCTTTTTCTCTGAAGCCTCTATGAGCTTTTTTTTGCTCTAGGCAGCAACATGCAACAACAAAATAAACACACAAAACAAGGCAAACAACAGGAATTAAAATGAATACAGTTGCATATTCAACATAAGAAGCATACTCTGCTGAGTGAACTCCCATAGGGGATATAAACATTAACCTGGTTTCCTAAGAAGAAAGGGAAAACCTGTCCCCCCAATCGCTTTTCCATTACATTGTGCCTGTGGGACTTGTTTCTGCCCCACAAGGAAATCCATTTCAAACAGAATTTGATGAAGGGTGGTATAAATAACTCCATCAAGTTTCCATCAAAACAGGTGGCTGGGCAAGGTACAAACCCATTAATGGTCCCAACAGAGGTCAAGGCTGAAGCACACTTTCAGTCTTGGACATTAAGAATCCACAGATCCACGTACACTTCAAAAATCAGACAACAGCAAGTCCCACCACAAAAGGAAAATAAGATTATTTAGTTCTGCACGTGACGCTATGAAAAATCAGACAACAGCAAGTCCCACCACAAGATGCAGAGATATAGGAAAATAAGATTATTTAGTTCTTCTGCACGTGACGCTATATGAAACATGAGAACTGTCTCCCATACACTAATTTTATTCTTGTTTTCTTCATAAACTATAATGAAACTGTTATTCCTCTTAACTGTTGACTTGAACCTACCTGTATTTCAAGAATTTGGTTTTATTATTATTAAATGAGTAAAAAACATGGCTTAGTCTGTAAAATCACATCCTTAAGACAGGCACAGACATTATATACACACACTTTATAGGCTGAGCCAGAATATTCTTTTTCCTTCCAATTACTTATTCATTAATTGCTTCAAGTAAATTATTTTACAATAAGGCTGTATGTTTTAGTACTTACACATACAAAATCAGCTGTAAGTAAATTATATTCAATAAAAGATAATTGCCTTCTTCCCTAGAATGCTTAAAAAAAAAACATTAAAATCCTGCAAGGATTAAGGCCTCTTCCATCTGTCCTATAGATGCAATATGCAACAGCGTACAAGTGTCCGATTTGTAATTCTGAACAGAATAGAGATAAATCCATAAGGCATTTCAGTCCTTTTTCTTTGGCATGGTGGTGGGTGGAAATAAGCATTTCTAGGGCTATTTCTTCACTGGTGACTACTCCTCTCCATTACTGTTATTTCAGCAGCCGTTTTCTCTGTTTCAGAAGTGCATCTCGAAGAGCCAGCTAAACAGGAAAAAGAGTGGAATAGTCAGGTAAGGAGAATATTAAGGAGACAACACCACTATAACACCCCTACTATCACATTAACAACCCTCTTCAATTTTTTCAACCTTATAGAAAAACACTAATAAGCTTATTAGCTAAGTCTGTGAGCAGTAGCTGGCAAATGTTAACGACTACAGTGGCAGAAATGCTGGGGTTATTTAGCTAAACTTGATAGTAAAATTTTTAAGGAAAGAGTTGGACTTCAAAAAGAATGTTTCAGTACATCATTAGCAGATCCTATATAATGAATAAGAGTAACATAAACTGTTCATCCACTCATATTTAACTAGAAGAGATCAAGAAAAAGCTTCAGTCCAGCTAAGAGGTAGGTAGGATTAAATGGCTGTTTTTTTGAAAGAGTATTACAAAGCTTCTTTTCAAGGGGAAGGAAGGAGGAATACTAGAATTTTTACAAGTGCCGTATCACTCTCAAGAGCCTTTGTTATGTATTTCAGACATGTTTTGGTTGGTAAGGGGATTTAGCTCTGGCCTATAGACAGAAATCCATTCTATTCTGCCACCAAAGAGTGCAGTGGAACACAGTATCCTATCCTTGTAACAAGTATTAACCAAATCATCATCAAGTCAACAGAACTGATGTTGTGGGCTAACTTTATAGAATCATAGAATACCAGATTGGAAGGAACCTCAAGGATCATCTGGTACATCTGATCATCTTGGCAAAAAAAACCAAAAAAACCCAAAAAAACCCCAACCAACCACAAACCAAGAAACACCACTTTGGAAAAAAAAATTAAATCTTCACTCAATGTTTAGATGTTACATTTAAACTTGAAACGTTAATCAGGATTGCTCGTTTGCAATGTTTTCTGTGTTTTCTGAGAGCTGGGTTAATGTGGTCGGCCTTATTTGGGGTGGAAGCAGAATGATAGCAAATATAAAGACTATAGAGAACATTAGTCCAAGTCTTCCTGTTCAACAGGAACACTTAAGATGTGTTCTCTCTAATGAGTCTATAAACAGTTTCAGTCTTGCAGCTCCTAAGGCAACAAACTGCAGACAAATATACATTATCCTAATGATATGATCCTGGAAACAACAACTTAAAGGAGAGTTTGTAAAAGAAGCATCTGAATGCACTCTAGCACAAGACAGAACCCAGCAAGAAAACATAAAAATTAACACCACCCAGAAACAAGAACCCTGCATAATTGGATTATTCTAGAAGTTTTTCTTGGAACATGTTCAAAGGAGTTCAATTTCATAACACCCTGTAAAACCCTAGACCGGCCATCTGCCAGGTTAGATAAAAGGATTTTAACGCAGATATTTGTTGTTAGCACAGACTTACCCCGCCAAGGTGACACACAGGAGGGCAAGGCAATATGCCTACACCAGTGCTCTGGCAACAGCTGCCACACACAGTTCAGGCATTATCCCCAACAGAGGTGTATCACAGCAGCAGGGGGGCTCCCTGCCCACACTCCATTCTTGCCAGTCACCTGGGGGAGCTATGTGGGCTCCCTGCCCAATGCCTTCAGGAGCAAAGTCATCCGGTGAAGTTTCTGCCTTGCCTTTCAGGTACCCCTTCAGCTACCCTTGGCACAGCTGCCTGGGCGAACGCATTTGGCAGTAACTGGACTGCCAAATACGTGTTTGTAGCTTGTATATCCTGTCACAAGGGCTGTCCCGAATCCCACACCGGCCCTGTGGCCAGGCTTAAGGTTGAGGAACCAGCAGAGGGCAGGGGCTTCACCAATGAGAGCAGCACACTGTGACAGGCTAAAAATGAAACTATTTATTTTTTTCTGAACGGTTTCAAATAGGTAATAAATAGCATTTCTGTCTGTGCTTTAAGCATTTGTGACAAGCTAGTAGATGACCTCACGGCCAGGACAGGCAACTCCATAATATGACAGTAACAGGAGAAAGGTCAAAGAAAGAATATGGAGAGGGAAGAAACACACTAAGAGCTTGTTCTGAAAACCCAACTCCTCCATATCAAGGAAAAGTTTCTTCTATCACAGGATTATAGTCAGGGTTCTAATATGATCATCTTTAACTTATACAAACAAACTACATTATCATTGCCTTCCTAACCTACACGTGACTTTGCAAGAGGGCTTAGTCCTCAATGTCTATTAAAGAGAAGAGACTGACAAAAGTATTCTTCACCAAGGCAATCTGATAAGATCCTCTGGGATTCAAGGGAAGCCACCTAGCCCACAGTCCTTTCTAGCAATTAAATCAAAGTAAATAGCAATGACTGAGGGCACAGGATAGACAGCACTTCACCTGCATTGTAAGTTTATTGCTCAGACTGCCCCATCTATTTTTAATATTAAATATTACCTGTTTTTCCCTGAAAGAACGCTTATTTTTCGTCCGGACACTATGGCTGTATCTCATCATCATGAAGTTCTTGTTCTTTTGCTTTTCTTTGTTGGAAGAGCTGGCAAATGGGTTTATTCTTGTTTTCTTTTTCACATATGCTTTTCTGTCTGTTTTTCCAGCCTAAAATAAACAACATAATATAGTAACAGAGGGTGATTTTCCTTTCCTTACAGTTGACATCAGCTGCTAAGATGACATGTTCTATGGCAGTAACAGTAAATCCAGGTTGAGTATGACCTTCAGTGTATGCCACGTGCATTCTTCCATGCTGGCTGTAATTCTTAAGTCACAGTGAAAATTGGGTGTGTCTCTACTTTCACTGTCATCTCTGGCCAGCAAGAGGCTGTTTATTTGTAACAGCCAAGATGCAACAGCGAAAACCTATACAAAACATTTCTCAAAAGGCAGGTGTCAGCTGGGCACCACCCTTACAGATGCAACCCCACCACTTCCTCCTTCTGCAGGAGACAAACAAAACCAAATCTAGAAAGACAGAGAATATAAAATAGCTAAGTTCCTCACCATTGCAGTTGCCAACCTGGTCTCCTTGTCCGATTTAGGCTTCTTATGCAGATGTTCAATATCTCTGAGTGAAAGCAACTCTCCCCTACACACACAAAAATAGGA